CATATTTATCACTCATATTAATAGTAAGAGTAGGCTCACCCTGATTTATTAAAGGATAATTAGCACACTGTTCTTGCTTATGCCCATATTTACCACATTTAAAACATATGAGGTGCAGACCCTCATATTCTACCTTAAATTCCTGGCCCAAAGCTTTAAAGGCTGGGACTAAATTCTTTCTAAGGTCAATTTCTATGCATATTCTAGCAAATTTCCCTCTTGAGATTAAGGAGGTGTGAGGGTCCACTTTCAGCATTGACCCTAAGTAGTTCCCTACTTGCCATAATAACTTATTATTATAAAGTTCAAGGGGTAAATCAGGAATCTGTACCCAAACTGCTATTTTCCTTATATTATAGTTCTTAGGACTAAAGAGGGGTCTCCACCTTTGAACTAACAGGTAATGATCTAGTAGTAACCAAGGCCCTTCAAAAAGAGCTTGTTTATAGTCTTCAATATTCTCAAATTTGACTGAGAAAAAGTCATTATTCAAATCAAAAAATTTTACAATCCCATTTTTGCCCCAAATATTAGCCAATTTCTGATTCAGAAAACTAAAACTAATTGACTTCCCTAGGAGCTTAACAATTAGAGTATGCCTCTAGGGGGAGCACCACTCTTTATAGTCATCTAAGGGGATCCTAATATTAGGGCATAAATCTCTAGGGTTTTCAGGCAAATCAGAGGAATCTTTAAGTTCAAAAAAAATATTAAACTCATCTAGAACAGATTTTACTATCTCCTCGTCGTTTAGATTAATATCAAAATTATTCGATTCTAAAATAATATCTTTATATGAATAGGAATTAGAAACCTTAGGTTTAGAAAACACCTGATTTGTTTCCACAAACACTGAACTTTGTTCCTCCTGCATGGGCAAGATCGGCGTCTCCTTTGGACTAGCCACACCCATCTTGACTTTCTTTGTACTCTGATCCATGAGATCTAACTCTTCAGTAGACCATTTTTCAGCTTCGTGATACTCTATTCTAACAGATACACCAAAGAAAGGGAGATGGACCAGGGACTTTCTTCCTCTTGATGACCGCTGATCTGTCTCTGGAGTGCTAAGGCTTTACACTCCTCACAAGGCTCAAAGGGTAAGAAACCCTATTTGCGCTGTGATAAGTGTATAAGATAAGTGATTTGAGATGGTAAATTAAACACTTTTGTGTTAAAAGTTGGATTATTTTATTAAATTCCCTTCAAATTTGGAACTTTTACAAATACAATATATTTTTGAAATGAATGCAATTTTATGGTTTTAAGCTCTTTTTGATCTATTTTGTAGCTAGAATCACAAAAGAAACATCACTTAAGGTTGAAGAAGATTAGAAAAAGTTAGAGAAAGGAGTAATTGAAGCATGAAGTTGCAAAAAAGTCAGCTTCTGGAGGTTTCTTGCTGTAGCGAGAAACACTCGCTGCAGCGAGAATTTACAGCTAGAGAAGGGTGAATCTGTTCCTCTGTCACTACCACGAGAGTTAACGCTGCAGCGAGAATAAAACAGAATGACCTAATTTTATCTCCATTTCTCGCTATAGCGAGGCCATGTCGCTGTAGCGAGAGAAGTTCAACCAAATTAGTATAAAAGGCAACTTTTATGTTCAAGTGGGGGATTCACTGTTCAAACTTCGTTTCCAGAGGTCAAAACGACGCAAGGCATAGAAGAAGAGTGAGAATACTCATGTTTTTTTTATGTTTTATTCTATTTGTATCTTTATTTTTGTTGTTATGGATGCCATAAGTAGCTAAATCTTCTTATTGGATTGAATGTAACTCTTCAAACATGATGTATTCTCAGTAATCTATATAAATATAGTTGTTTCTTCTTCATTTCTAATGATTTGGTGATCTTAATCCGTTTTTAATTGTTGAATCTAGTTATTTGACAGTTTCTGGTGTTCAGATCTGAGTTATATTTGGAAAGATATTGTTTAGATCTAGATCTGATTGAGATTACTCAATAACCGGTTATTCTAGGAATAGATTTCAAGTTATTGATTGCTTCTAAATCCTGATTTTAATGCTGAATAGTTTATTAATTATTTGAGGAATCAACATTTGAGAAATTATCTTAGAAATGTATTTTTAAGGAATTGAAATATATTATTTTCGTATTTTACATCAGATTCATTGGAAATAATTGCTATATTTATCACTGGATTACTAGAATATATAGGGGGAGATAGATGAAATTCAATCCCACTTTTTTAACCTAAATTTTATCACATTTTATTTTAGTGCTTTACATTTTAAGTATTGTTTAATATTACATAAAAATTATTCACCAATTCTATTGTATATAAGCTCAATTAATTTGTATCTTATTAATTAATACATTTGAATTGTTCTTTAAGGACAATATTCCGGTACTCTACCGGTTATTACTTACAACAGACTTGGTACACTTGTTATGTTTAAAGGAATAGAACCAACATGCCGTTGTGAGGGTTTCTTGGAAGATATAACTGGAGCGAGGATTCTTGGAGTCTAATAAAAAAGAAAAGTCTAGAGCTCCCAATAAAAGTCCAACCTTGTTACTTTTAATTATGTCCGTAATGTGTATGTTTTTTATGCATTGATTAATAGATTGTTACATAATATATAGATTATGTGTAAAGAAAATTTAGATTTTTATATTAAGTACGTGTAAACAAATGTAAAGAATTGTTTTATTTTTTATATTATTATTTTAGATGTTTACTTCTTCATTTGTAATGACATTTTAATTTTACATTTTATAAATAATTTCTGATTTAAATATATAATTTTGTAGTTTTTATTATGTTTATGAATTGTGATAATTAGGAACAGGAAGGAATAATTATGTTTATAAAAAAATGAAACAATTTTAAAAAAATTTCATAAATAAATTACTGACAAATTTTTTTGTCTGTAATTACAGACAGATTTTTCCGTCTTACCAACGTGCATATTACAGATGGACTATAATCGTCTATAAAACTGTCTGTAATACTAAAATTCTTCTATAATAGTAAAAAAATTCATCTGTAAATCTGTCTGTATTTACAGATTTTCTAGTAGTGAATTTGGATTCTATTTAGCCAGCTTTTTATCCATAACCATCCTCTCTTAATATCACATCATTGAGTTAAATAAGTTTAAATATAATTTTAGTATTTTAAAGTATATTATGTTTTAATTTTAATTTTAGTTTAACTATTATACCAAAATCGAAAAAGAACAAAAAGATAATGAATGTTTTAAGATTTTGGGTGCAGCAAAGTATTGCTGGCTAGTGTGTATCAAGCACATTCCAAGGCACTTTCTTCTCCAAGCTTGTGGTAACATAGAATATGCACTCTTAGCACACATCACGCTGTAAACAACAGTAACGAAAGTATTTATGTCAGATATCATTCTATTGTATTCTGTCATGCGAGTGTCTACGTGAATTCCATTTATAAATATTAAATATTTGATTATGTATCTTGTATTGCTACATTATTCATTTAATTAATAACAATCACTCTTTACTTTTATGAATCTCCTTTCCTCTATTTTAACTCATCTGATCATTGTACTTCATCAAGTTATTAGAGTAACTTGCATACTCAGAATTTTAATAATTTTTAATTTAGTTTAATGTTTTTTTTTAAAAATAAATTATGTACATGCCCAACTCGCACCAGTCAAATTTTATTGGATTAGATCCATCGATCCAAAATCAATATTGAATGCATGTTTGGTTGAGATTAATAAAACATATTTTTTTTTTCTTAAAGTTAATAAAAATAAGTATTTTTTTCAAATAAGATAAACTGAATACACACTCGTAAAATAGTGATAATATGGCCTCCATTAAAGTGATGATCACTGTTGACAATAAATCTTGGTTGCACTTATGCATGGATAATCAAGTAATATATTAAATTAATCTTTGAAATTACAAATATTAATTAATTTAAATTTTACAAGCATAAGAATATTACTTTAATCTCTAAAATTATCAAACAATAATGATTTTAATATGTGATACTATTAAATAATGAATATTTTTGTTATTAAAATTATATAATAAAGACAAAAATATCAATATTTAGTAATTTGAAAAACTAAAATGACATTTTTATAATTTTAAAAACTACTTTAGAGTACTACTTAATTTATTATTTCTTTTTATTTCTATTTTTTAAAAATTAATTCACAGATTTTTATGATTAATGTACTCATTTATATTAGAATTATTTTTAATTCCATAATAAATATATAAAATATTTAAGAATCAAACAGAGAAAACGACATAGTACAAAGATAACAATATATATATATATATATATATATATATATATATAAAACTTTCAAAGAAATAAAAACAAAATTTTATTGTGTAAGAAAACTGACATGAATAATGATTCATATAGATTGAATTTTTTTCACATTCTTTTTTCTTATATTCTTTTACATTTACTTTTTCTTATCTCTTTCCTTTTTTATTTTCGTAACGTTCTTTTATTATTATTTTTTGTATCTTGTTTTCTTCTCTTCACTTTATCTCTAACCTCACCCGTGTCCACGTTCATCTCATCCAATGAAAATCATTGCTGTTATTAATAAGCATTAAAAAAGGGTAACGTGGTAGAGTACAAGAACGAATAGTCTTGGTTTTCCATTGAAAAAAAAGAAAAAGAAAAAAGAAACAGTTGTCACCGTTGAGAATTTCCAATTCTGAAGGAAAAGAAGAAAGAAAATGTTGGTGTCATTATTACATCATAAGGGCAACGTCATGGTTATCTTTGTAAGCCAAGTTAAGTTATAATCTGTGGAAAAACTTTTCCACTTACATATCAACGTCACCATTACCTTCCTAACATTTTCCATTCACTTGTATCTCTCTTTCCTCGCAAAAACCTTGCCCCCTTCTTTCACTCTCTCACCTTGCCCCCACACTCCCAAATCCAAATCCAAACCACAAAGAGAAAATTTCCAAGAAAAATATATATTCCCATCAGATCCTTACCTACGAAGTTGAGACCAAATGAGTATTTTTTTCCCACAAAGTGCCTCAGCCAAGAGGAAGAGGGTCATCAGAGAGCTTGTTCAGGGTCAGAAGGATGCTACTCAACTCAAGTTTCTGCTTCAGCAGCTTATTGGGCCTGATGGGTCTGTTTCAGCTATGGAACTTGCGACTAATGTGTTGAGATCTTTCGATGAAACTCTTTCTGTGTTGACTTCTTCTGAAGTTTCTGCTGGTAGTGCTGATGACGAGGTTGCTCAGAATCTTGTAGATTCTGGAGAAGCTGAGGTCGCAGCTTCTAGCATTGATCCGATGTCTGAGGATTCAAGTGAAAGTCGGAAGAGATCTTTGCCGGTTGCAAAAGATCGGAGAGGTTCCTACAAAAGAAGGTCTTTTTCTTTTGCATTCCATGATCTATTATTTTTCTTTGCAGTGATGTTTTTCATGTGTTGCTACCTTACATCCTTGGTCAACAAAGCCTGTTTTGTCAGTGATTTGGGATGATGCTAAGTGGATTTGGTGAATTGGGATGTGTACGGACAGTGTGTCGTAGTCATCTTATACACATGAGTAAAGAAAAGATAAAAATATCTTCCTTGCATAGGAAATAAATAAGGTTGAAGCTTTGAGGTTAACTTTTGAACTTCGAATTAATATTTTGATTTAGCAAATTATTGGAGTGAGTTCTCAATCGTTGATTTTGATTAGTGCAAAGAGTGCCGTTTCAAGGGGGTCCTTTTATTCTAGCTTTGAAGCTTGCAAGCCTTGAAACCATATTGTGTGGAACAGTGTAATTATTTCACATTACTTTTCTTTTTATATCTTTATATTTATCGAAAAAGAATCTTTTTTTCTCCTTCCCTTTTTTCTTTGTGTTACATGATATGATATTTTACACCAAGAAAAAATTTAAAAGTGATGACAAACGATTATCTTCCTTTATGTATTCTGAATCTTTAACTTATCATGTTTTACACGAAATAACATGCATGGGTCATCTTAATTTGTTGCGCAGGAAGACTGAACAGACACGGACCATAGTCTCCCAAACAACTGATGATAACTATGCATGGAGAAAGTACGGTCAGAAGGAGATTCTAAATTCTCAATTTCCCAGGTAATCATTATTTTCCTGTACAATTTTTTCTTATTTTCTTTCTAAATTCTCCGTGGAAATTTTTATTTATGCATCTCTACTCATTGCCCTTTTCTATTTTTAGTCCCTTTCCTTTCACTGTCAAAGAAAAAAGATGAGCAACAGAGTGATCAATATAGAAATACCATCTTAAAAATTACTTTAATTGGAAAAGCTACAAGTATACTTCTTTTATGTGGTCTTTTGGTTTCATGTATGAATACTTTTTTTTTTCTGATCCTACCAAAGTAGAAATTAAACTCAAACAACTGCACCTGGAAATTAATTAATTAATGCAGAAATCAGACCCAGAAAACTTAGTGAGCATCGAGACTATAAATTAAGTGACGATTTAGAAAATGTCTGCATCTTTGAAATAAGTTGAGTAAATACAAACGTACTTAATTATTATGTTAACATATTTAGCTAGTTTGAATAAAAATTAATTATAATTAAATTCATGTTTAATATATGTAATAAATTATATCTTTTATATTGATTTGAAAATTAACATTAAATTTTTATAAATTAGCTTTTTTTTAAAAATAAAATATGCATTACATTACTTTAAATTTATATAAACTCAAGTTTACAAATACTCTTCCACACACACACTAATACACGTGAACACTCAAATTCACTAGCTAGTATTTCTATGGATAGATTGAGTTTTAATTTGTATTTTTGTTATAAAAATTAACTTGTCTACTGATTAACGCATACTTCAATGATAATTTATAGGAGTTACTTCAGGTGCACTCGTAAGTATGATCAAGGTTGCCAAGCAACCAAACAGGTGCAACGGACACAAGAGAATCCTGATATGTATCATATCACGTACATTGGCTTTCACACATGCAAAGACACCCTCAAGGGTCCACAAATGGTGGCATATTCTGATACTTGGGACTCATTTCTTGTGAATTCCCATCCTGATTCAAACGTGCCAAATGAAGAGGATTCCCCTATTATCTCAAAAAGCCCAAACATAAAACGAGAAAATCCCAATGATGACACACTTAGTGATCTTACAGATGCTAACCTGTGGTCTGATTTGAAGGATATTGAAATATCCAATTCCAAGCGTGCATCTGATAATGCAGACTGGTTCTCAATGCTTGCACATGGATTTTGGTTTCAGCACCGACTTCCACTTTGATGGAGGTCATTTGCTTTAGTTACCTTTGTAGAGTTAACTAATATATTAAGATTGAATATTTTATATTGAATATTTAGATTTAGTATTTTCCAAGTTTCATGTACTATGGAGAGATAAACTTTGATCACTCTCGCATGTCATCAATCAGTGTAGTGTAATGTGTGTCTGTCTGTCTACAATGTGCTCTAAAAGGATTGACTGTGATTAAATAAAATAGACTGAATCAATTATTTGTAGGTGACATATATGTATGCATATATAGCTTGATTTTCTTTTTATCTCCTTGTAAGGCAATGTCATGCATGGGCTATGAGCCAATGACATCAACAAATTTGATGGAATATTTATTTTCAAAAGGTTGTGGGTCATGTTTATACGGTTCCAATAATCCAACTTGCAAAGCGTGTGGGTTGAAAATAATGTGAACTGTGGTTGGAATGGAATTGAGCAGAACATGACATTGTTTTAAACTTAGTCACGTACTCGGGTTGGGACGTTTTTTAGCACTAAAGACACACGGTAATTTCAGCAAGTGGGACAGAAATGTCGCCAAATAATTAGGGGAGTCCAAGAGCATATGCGTATGGTGAAGGTAATTAATGAGTAGAAGATATAAAAGCCGAGTTGTAGCTCAAGCTAAACTAATGAACAAAATGGGTCATTTTCAGAAACTAGGACACTGTTGAAGCATTTGTTTTATCTATATCGTGGCATCTCCTCATGTGTAATTCCTTCTCCAACACGAAACGAGGATTGCACAAAGATATTCACCCTGTTTGAATAGACGTTTTAGAGGCTATGATCGATTTTATTCTTTTTAACGGTTTGTAGAATTATTTTTATGCAAATCAAAGCACGGTGGATGAGAACAATAAAATTATGTTTGGTTTCACATTGACTGTTGTTGTAATTATTTTTGAATTATAGATGGATGATCATGATATATTTGTGCACAAACTCTAATGGACGTTTTACACAGCAATAAACTCTCTTCTTTCTACCAAATTGATAATGAGATCAATATAGAGGAGCACTAAATTTTCACTTTCTGAAAAATTAATTTTAGAGGTAGCACAATTAAACTCATTATTGCCCTTAGAAAGAATATAGCATATGCTTTCTAGAAGTGGTTTGCTTAAATCAAAGCCTTTAATTGTTGCAGATATTTTTGTAAATATTAGGGCTAACAGTTAGCTAAGGTGAGTCAAGTTGGACATAATTGGGTTCAATTCATGGAGGACTATTGCATAGAAAGCTAATTCTGTTTTCTCACATTGAAAATTTTCTCCATTCATCTGATGTGCGGACAAATGTACAATTAATCATAGTCCAACGAAAATTTGAATAGATACTGAGAAATTGAATTTATTTTCTCAAGTAAAACTTTGTTTGAATGAAAACATATATAGAAAATAAAGAGGAAAAATAAATAATTTTTATATTATTTATATTAAGAATGAGAAATATTTAGTTATTTAATTGAGTGAAAAATAAAAAGAGAAAGAAAACAACAGTACCCATTATAATTGTTTCCCGAATGCTTTAACAAAAGAAGACAAGGATTGCATTGGAAGACGAAATATGTTTTTGTCTTGTAGTGAGTTTTCTTTCTCATCGGAGGTGTGAACAAGTTATGGTGGATCCCATGTGCTCAGTTTTCTTTCCACAGTGATTGTCACTCATGTCTCATGCTAAACCATACATTTTCAATCGACGTTTTCTATATTTCCATTTTCTCTTTTAATTTATAAATTTGTCGATCCATATTCATGAGTTGATGCTAACGTTGTACCAATTAATTGAGGAGTAATTCTCAATTGAGTTTAATTTTTAACAAATTAAATAAAAATGAATTGAATAAATTTAACGATAAACATACAAATTTGATAATATACTTTCCTATTTTTAAAACAAATAAGACAGAAATTATTTATAGCAAACCCGACCTTTTAGAAAATTTTGATGAATCAAAATTAAAATTTTCTAAAATAAAATTAATGTAATATGAATAAAAGGATATATTCATACTTAGTTTAATATACTTAAATTTAAAAGGTACTTTAATTAATATAAATTACACGTATATAGTTTTTCAGAGAATATTGATATAATCAAGTTAATCTTAATCTATCATAGGCCAATACTCGTCTCTTTACTTATAGCAAATTATCAAGCTAGTCTTCTGAAAATACGTGCGTCACCGATTTATATTAATCTTTAAGAAAATTTGATTCTAAAACTCTACAACATTATATATATATATATATATATATATATATATATATAAACTAAATTAACATTTTAAAGATTAAATTTATCATTAAAATAAGTTGCTAACTTAATTTTTTTATATTAATCCTTTAGTCTTATATAAAATAAAATATAATCACATTTTAAATATAGTATTTTTTATAGTATTTTAAAAATTATGAAAATATTTTATGTAATTTTATACATAAAATAATTATCATTATTAATATTATATTAAATATGTGTAATAAATAGTTGTGATAAGTATTTTATTATAAAAAATATAAACATAATTTAATTTTTAAGATATTAAAATAATTATGACGGTCATTTTAAAATATATATATAGAATAATTTTTTAAGTTTACGAAGACTATTACAAACATATTTAAATTTTTAATAATAAATTAGCAACAACACTTTACGGGATTAATATTTTAATTTTATTACGTCAAAAATTGTAAATAAGACTAATATAATAATAAGTATAGTCTGATACAATGAATTGAAGCCTTTATTTTATTTATAACTTGCATCTCTTTCGAACGTAAATTGAAGCCTTTTTCATGTATATATTTTACTTAAATCAACGCCTTTAATTATAATTTTTATTATTTGTTTAATTTTAGGATTATTTTAGTTTCAAAATATTTTTATCTAATTTATTTATTTAAGTTATTTTTTCATTTCTACGTTGTTTTTTAATGTTGACTTTTTTACTTAAAATTTCTTAAATAAAATGTTTTTGAATTACAATTTTTTATTTTTTTTACATTTTTTATGCACTTCACTATTAAACTATAATCTAAAACTTCTCAAAACCATCACTATAAACTGCTATTGATACCTATAGGTGGGAGCCAGTTTTCTAATCAGTTTGATCACTTGTTTGTTAATGTTAACTCAGATAAATTATACTTTATTTTTTAAAAAAAATCCATATATATATATATATATATATATATATATATATATATAAAACATAAAATTCTCAGAAAAATTTTAAACAAAAGAATAATTTTCAATTGATTTAAAACAAATAAACTTATAAATGCATAAAATTTTAAAAATATGTCGGTAAAACACAATAATTAAAATTAAATTTAAAAGTAAAATTATAAAAAATTATTAAATATTATAATTTTATAAATGCATAATTATGTAAGTGTAAATAAAAATTTAATTTCACATATAAAATTATATATCTATCAACACAAGTCTAATTTAGATTTGGTTAAAACGATTTTTGAAACTAGATAAAAAAAATTGATCCAATTAAAAAATATATAATTTTTACACTTAATTTTTCACTAATTTAATTTTCAATTTTGTATTTAATTTTTACTGATATTAAATTGGATTGGTTTTTCCTTAAACCTCACCAATGACCGAAAGGAAAGCTACATGCAAATAATAAACATAGAAGAACATTTGGCTCGCATTTATTTATTGTTCAGTTATCGATTTCTAACTTGAATCTTTGTTGTTAAGTAATTTTTATAGTAAAAATTAAGATGACAAAAAAAATCATTACTATTAATATTATATTAAATATGTATTATTAGAGGTTCATAATTTATTTTTAAAATATAAATATTTTTTTAATTTTTAAAATATTAAAATAATTATAACCATAAACACGATAATAAACACTTTGCTTTTATGGACATATTCACAAGACAAAAAGGTTAGCTAAACTTCAATTGTTATTTAATCAGTAATAAGTCGTTTCGTAGTTATACAATTAGTTTAGTTGCTAGTAATTTTTTATTCTATAACACATGGATCATTAAATTAAAATAAATATTTTAATAAATAATTAAAACAATATTGCATTACTATTTTTAACTTAATCAAATTTTATAATTATTGATAATAAATATTATATTAAAAATAAATTATAAAAGGTTTTCAAATTTAAATTTATTAAATTTTAAAAACTAAATACACAATATAAAAAATTTAATTGATATGATGAGAAAACAATTAATCCCTCTAAAAACATTTCTTAAAAATACACCTGTTTCAGAACATTTCTAAAAATATTTTAGTTTAAGAATTATTATTTAAAAATTTATATTTAAAAGTTGAATGTTGATTATATAATTTGAATAACCAAATAAACCATTTTCTAAATAATTAATAAAAATAAATATTTTTAATATTATTATTTATTTAGAATATAAATTTAAATTCTACCTAAATAATTTATATAATAAGAGTTGAAATTAGAAGTTGATAATAATTAATGAAAATAAAATTAATTTTTCTTAAATAATAATAAAAAACAACTAGAAGGACTTATAATTATATTTCAAGTCTTATGAAATTTAAATATATGTTTATTTTTTATATTTTTATAAAAGTTTACTTTTATTATTTTTTATTTTAGTCTTTAATTTTTTAAATTCAAATGTTAATATTTGTTTATTATTCAATAATCACAAAACTAACTAATAAAATAAGAAATTAACATTAATTTTTAAAAATTAAAATTAAAATCTCATAAAAATACAGTTAAACCTTCCTACAATAATATATTTTCTTTCTCGTGGGCTGCCAAATTAGTCTTGAGAATTTGTTGTGTTTTGGTTCTCATTTATCTTTCGGTGGGGGGAAGAGCGATTCCATACTGTTACCGCTGCTGCCGCCAGAGTTGAACATAGAATCAGCCATATCCACCACTGGATAATCACCACCATATCTTGTAGTGGAGGCTCCACCGCTGCCACTACTGCCGCCGCCGCCAGCACCACCAGGGTGGAGGCT